TATCTATCTATCTATCTATCTATCTATCTATCTATCTATCTATCTATCTATCTATCTATCTATCTATCTATCTATCTATCCCCATCCACCCCTTCCCCTATCTATCTATCTATCTATCTATCTATCTATCTATCTATCCCCATCTCCCATCTATCTATCTATCTATCTATCTATCTATCTATCTATCTATCTATCTATCTATCTATCTATCTATCTATCTATCTATCCCCATACACCCCATCATCTATCCCCATACACCCCCTCTATCTATCTATCTATCTATCTATCTATCTATCTATCTATCTATCTATCTATCTATCTATCTATCTATCTTTTCCCATATGTGCACACCTGCCCCTCACCACAGTTAGGAAATTTTCCCAGCACAGTCACAAAATGGTTTATTAAAGCTTCCACCCACTCAGGGTACGGCTTCACTGCAGAGTTCACGTGGGCTGTGACCCAAGGTTTAGCCCTAACCCGCCCCCTCACTGCTCCCTACTATCCACACACAAAACCCTTTAACCTCAGGCTGGCTGATGCAATTTGGGGTGTACTTTAGATCCAGGTTCCTCTTTAATTTCTTGAATTGTGGGCCCCCTAACTAGACACAGGATCCCAGCAGCATCGCCCCAGGGAAAAATATGGAGGGAAAATAACCTCCCTGCTGTTACTCGAGGTTCCCCTCCCAGCCTCTCATTTTCTTTTTCTGTCTTTAACAAAGATGGGACAAAGACAACGTACTTCTACAAACAGTGTCTGAGTAGCTATAAGAGTGACATCCAAGTCCCCATCTCCTTCACTGTTGGGAATGGCAAGTATGTGAGGATCAACACCACACGATGCAACACAGATAACTGTAACTCGGCTGTACCTGCAGGTAAGTGATGAGTGTGTTTTTACCGTCCCTCTTTAATGGCTTGTCGACATGAACAGTGAGACGGCGCTGAGCTGGGCTGTGAATCCAGCTCTCCGTGTGCCCCCTGCCGATGCCCGTGACCGTTCGGGCGCTTTGGAAGGGCACTAGCTCAAAGCACATTAACAAACGGTTCACGCACGTCAGCAGGGTGCACGTGGCCAGCTAGGGCGTGGCAGGCTGGTGCAGGGTCGATTCACACCTGGTAGATCCTTACTCCCCGGCCCCCCTTGCCACAGTCGAATGGTTCATGTGGACAAGCCCCGGCACAAGTGTATTATTTCCCATTTCTCCCCTTTACTGCCCCCAACGTCCATTCACTCGAATGTCATTTCTGTCTCCACTGAAATGCCTGTCGCTGGCGGGTCTCCAAACCAGTGGGTGGAACAGTCGGCCCATGTGAAATCAGACGGGCGAGGGCTGCACGCGAGAGAGGGGGCAGCAGCCGGGATGGGCTCAAATCTAAACCTCCCTGAACCTGTCAGGCTCCACCTTCAAACTCGCCGGGGTCTGGAACTAATCGGATGCGGCGTTCAAGGACAGTCGTGTCACAGACAGACAGAGAAATGCCATGGGGCTGGGGGTGGGGCCTTCACCTGCTCAGGCAATGCAGGGCACATCCACCAGATTGAACGAGGTTTAACCCACCCTGTGACCGTCTCTCTCTCTCTCGGTTCTCAGTGCCCACGGGGAGCACCACCGAGAACGGGCTGCAGTGCCCAACCTGCTTCGCTCTGAACTTCACTGTCTGCAACAGCGCAATCACCCCTTGTACCGGGGACGAGACCTATTGCATCGATTTCTCTGGGCTTCTATACCAAGGTAAATGCTGCCAGCTGGCCGCAGTGCGGGAGCTACCCCGGGAATCTCACACCCCAGGAACACCCCCGAGAGTGGTGAAAACTAGTCTGTGGTGGGCCCTTGGGCGGGTGGGGGCCACCAAGAGGGGTTTTTGGCCAGAGGGGAGAGAGGAACTTGGAAGTTTTCCCTTCCTCACCTCCTCCTTTCCTTTCCTTTCCTTTCCTTTCCCCCCTCCTTCAGTGATGCCGCCCTGCTCCTGGAGTTATGACAGCACGGTCTCTTACCATGGGAAGGGATGTTATGTCGATGATGCAGAGCTGGGAGAGAACCCAGGAGTCCTGGGTCCCAGCCCTACTGCTCTAACCACTAGACCCCACCCCCTGTATGTTTAAGGTGGAGCTAAGCTATTGCTCAGTGCGGAAGTTCCTGTTCTCAGTGTGTGTCCAGGACTCCCAGCGCTTTGGGGTGTTTATAAAATAACTGAACCGAGCGGTCGGGGCTGCTGGGCACGGTGAAAGCCAGGCGTGTTCCCCAGGGGAGCCGGGTGCTGGGGAAGGAGCTGCCCCCAGCGATCAGCTGGGTCCCAAACTCCAGCTTCAATTTCTTGTGGAGCTGCAGAAAGGGGCGCGGGGGAGGCAAGAGGGGAACAGACACCCGCCCTGCCCTGGCCGGTGACAGCGAGAGCAGGGAGAGCACCGGGCGGGTGGGAATGGGAGGCAGAGGTGGGAACCGCTGGATGGTGGAGACAGAAGTTATGGGGGCAGAGAAGGAACCAGAGCTGCCTGGTTGATTAACAGGCTGATTTCCTCCATCAGATTCATCTCGTTCACCATTTCAAGCAACAGGCTGCGCTACTGCGTCTGCTCAGGCCATTAAACCTGGAACCACCCTGGCTATGGCACTCTACACATTTGACTTTTTTTGGGGGAAATCTGTTCCAGCACAGAAAATACCCACCAGCCCCCCTCCCACAACCGCTGCCTCTCTAGAAACAACCACCACCACCCCCAGCACAACCACCACCACCCCCAGCACAACCACCACCACCACCCTCTCAACAACCACCACCACTCTCGCTACAACCAACACCGCCATCAAAACAACCACCGCCGCCACCCCCAACACAACCACCCCCCCCAAAAGAACTACCACAAACAAAACAACCACCATCCACAAAACAATGCCCACCTCTACAACCACCACCACCACCACCACCAAACCCACTACCTCACCCAAAACAACCACCTCATCCAAACCCGCCCGCCCCGCCCATGCAACCCACAGTGGAGCCAGCCCGGCTCTGGGGAAATTCTCCTTTGCCCTCTACCTGCCTGGCCTGACTGGGCTGCTGCTGGTGAAGCTGCTCTCCTGACCCCGCCCGGCACGGCCCATGCAGCTCCTGGTGCCTGTGAATAAAGGCCTGAAGTCCCAGCTACCCCTCTCCGTGCTGCTGGGGCGATGCAAAGGGGCTGCTGCATAGCCAAGAGTCTGCCCAGCGTATGGGTGTGCGTCTGTCCCGGTACCTCGCGGCTGGCTGGAATCTCTCTGTGCATTAGCAAATTCACCGAATAAATCAGGATCCAAAATAAAAGCCCCCGGTGTGTTGTGTTGTGTTTGGGTTGCCTGTTGCTGAGCCCATCTGCATGAGACTGGGGCACTGTCAGATGCATTAGGCATATACGAATTTGCTTGGCTCTGTGTGCCCGGCGCGTTTGCATTGTGCTACAGCCTTTGATTCCACGATCACACTGTGCGTTTCCACCGCAGCCCTGCCTCGGTCAATACGTCTTTTCCTTCTCGTTGGGGCATTACCCCAGGCCGTATTTCCCACCCGCCGTTCCTAGCCCATGCTTCTCGGAATGACTAATGACACCTCCTGGGCCTCTCTGTGGAGTTCTCACCACGGGCTCTGAGGGCCTCACAGACATTCATCACTTGGTCTGTGCAACAGCCCGGTGGGACCCGGGAAACTGAGGCACGGCGGGGCTCCACACAGGGAGTCCGGACACACATCTCCCCGTGCACATGGCCACACTGCTATCCACACGCGAGCATAAGAACATAGGAATGGCCATACTGGGTCAGACCAAAGGTCCATCTAGCCCAGTATCCTGTCATCTGACATTGGCCAATGCCAGATGCCCCAGAGGGAATGAACAGAACAGGGAATCATTAAGTGATCCCTCCCCTGTCGCCCATTCCCAGCTTCTGGCAAACAGAGTCTAGGGACACCATCCCTGCCCAGCCTGGCTCATAGCCATTGATGGACCTATTCTCCACGAACTTATCTAGTTCTTGTTTGAACCCTGTTATAGTCTTGGCCTTCACAACATCCTCTGGCAAAGAGTTCCACAGGTTGACTGTGTGTTGTGTGAAGAAATACTTCCTTTTGTTTGTTTTAAACTGGCTGCTTATTAATTTCATTTGGTGACCCCCAGTTCTTGTGTTATGGGAAGGAATAAACAACACTTCCTCATTCACTTTCTCCACACCCTTCAACATTTTATAGACCTCTGTCATATCCCCTCTTAGCCTTCTCTTTTCCAAGCTGAAAAGTCCCAGTCTTATTAATCTCTCCTCATACGGAAACTGTTCCATCCCCCTCATCATTTTTGTTGCTCTTCTCTGTACCTTTTCCAATTCCAATACATCTTTTTTGAGATGGGGCGACCACATCTGCACACAGTATTCCAGATGTGGGCGTATCATAGATTTATATGGGGTAACATGATATTTTCTGTCTTATTATCTATCCCTTTCCTAATGATTCCCAACATTCTGTTCACTTTTTTTGACGGCCGCCGCACGTTGAGTGGATGTTTTCAGAGAACTATCCACAGTGACTCCAAAATCTCATTTTTGAGTGGTAACAGGTAATTTAGGCCCCATCATTTTGTATGTATAGTTGGGATTATGTTTTCCAATGTGCATTACTTTGTATTTATCAACATTGAATTTCATCTGCCATTTTGTTACCCAGTCACCCAGTTTTGTGAGATCCCTTTGTAACACTTCGCAGTTAGCTTTGGACTTAACTCTCTTGAGTAGTTTTGTATCATCTGCAAATTTTGCCACCTCACTGTTTACCCCTTTTTCCAGATCATTTATGAATATGTTGAACAGGACTGGGCCCAGTACAGACAGACCCCTGGGGGACACCACTATTTACCTCTCTCCATTCTGAAAATTGACCATTTATTCCTACCCTTTGCTTCCTATTTTGTAACCAGTTACTGACCCACGAGAGGACCTTTTCTTTTATCCCATGACAGCTCACTTTGCTTAAGAGCCTTTGGTGAGGGACCTTGTCAAAGGCTTTCTGAAAATCGAAGTACACTAGATCCACTGGATCCCCCTTGTCCACATGCTTGTTGACCCCCTCAAAGTATTCTAGGAGATTGGTGAGGCGTGATTTCTCTTTACAAAAACCATGTTGACTCTTTCCCAACAAATGATGTTCATCTATGTGTCTGACAATTCTGTTCATTATTATAGCTTCAAAGAGTTTGCCCAGTAGTGAAGTCAGGCTAGCCTGGGTCCCTTTCCCCGAGCTGGGCTGGACCCCTCCCAGCTGCAGCGTGGCCACATCCTAAATGGTTAACAGTAGCAGACTAGTGGCCCTCCCACAGCTGGGGAGAGAAAAGGCTGCAGGGCCAGAGCAGGGGGGCAGCCGCTGGGAAGGTGGAGGGAACCCTTGGGGAAAAGTCCTTGGGCAGCAGTCTACCTGGGCTGCCAGAGGGAGAGGATGAATGGGAGTCGCAGTGCAGTTGTTGATTTCAACCCTTGTCTCTGTTCAAGCAACTGGGCTCCTCTCTGTGGATATTTAATCTCCCAAGGCACACTTCCTAAACGCTGCTGTCATTAGACATTCCCCAGGCTGGGGTTCACCCCCACCCCAGAGGTGGCTGCATTTCAGTGCTATCCTAGCCTGGAGGGATCTGAGGTTCCTTGGCATGTAAGAGAGAAATAAATGCACTAGGGTAGTACCTAGAGATCAGGGACGTGTTGTGCCAAGCACTTCCCAGACTCTAACAAGATTGGGGCCCCCGTTGTGCCAGGCGCTGCACAGACATGTTGACACAGTCCTGCTCTGAAGATCTTTCGAGATAGACAGTGGAGGTGTATGGGGATAGATAAGTAGTACAAGGGTGACAACATCAATCAAATATTGAACCCACCTCTTTTACCCTCAGGCTCCACCCACTTGTCACCGTAAGACTCACCCCCTGGGGTACTACTTCTGGGGTGAAGATGGACACATGACCAGAAGGAAGGGGTGGCATGTGACCCCTCTAAGAACTCCTCCCACCACCCTGTACCAATTTCAACCTCATAGGACCTCCCTGAGAGCAGATTCGACCAATCAGGGCAGATTCTGGGATGGGGTGACCATCCCAAAAAGAGGTCTGTGTGACCCCTCTAAGAACTCCTCCCACCACCTTGTACCAAGTGAGGTGGGGTTTTGCCCCATAGGACCTCCCTGAGAGCAGATTTGACCATTCAGGGCAGGTTCTGGGGTGGAGTGACCCACCCAAAAAGAGGGCTGTGTGACCCCTCTAAGAACTCCTCCCACCACCCTCTACCAAGGGGGTTTCAGCCCCCCTTAGAGCATCCCAGAAGGGAAACATGTACTAATCAGGAGAGGTGTAATGCGAGGGTCTAGGCTGGAACCCCCCCCACCCCGATCTCTGGAGTTTGACAGTGATTGCAAGTATATCTTAACAGCAATAGACAGTCTCTCTAAATAAGCCTGGGCCTTAGGCCTCAAAGATAAAATGGGCAGTGAAGTACCATGGCCTTTAAAGCAGTTTTCAGTGAAGGTTGCCAGCCTCATAAATTACAGACAGATCAGAGAAAAAAATTTCTAAATAAAACTTTAAGCAGATTGCTAAAGTGGTATGATGTGGGGGTTGTGGAGCGATTTACCAGAACTTTACAAACTTGGAGGTGGAGAAATTTTGCAAACCACAACCCCATTGGCTACCTCGACGTATTGTAAAGAGTGACAACTGGAGCTTTCACAGAACTCTACGTACCAGACCCGCTGATGTCAACCCCTCACATTCTCTGAAGATATGGAAAACGGTTTACGGAGACAGTTTTAAAATAAAACCAGATGTTGACCCTTTTAGAAAAGGCGACCACGTGAGACCATCTAAAACCGAAAGAGCTTTTGAAAAAGGTTTGCGGGGGACTTTTCCATTCCCCTTATTCTTGTGTTTTCAACGACAGACGAGATTCTAGAGAACAAGGCTGCAAAGTCGGTGAGGCACCGATACAAAACCACCACCTACCAGTTGAATCTGAGCCTTGCATTAATATAACTAATCCCCAGGTTTTCCATCGCACTGTTCATCAGCCGATCTCCGACCACTCTCTCTCTTTAGACTCCTGGCGATCCTAACACCTGGCTTCTCTCTGGAAGCCCCCTACCCATCTCGACAACCTCCAGGAGCAAAACTGGCCTGAAATAAAACCGAGGCCGAAATGCTCTTCTCCACTCAGTTATCCTATAACTAAATTCCCCCAGCCGGGTGCAACGTCATGTGCGTGAGACACAGTTTGCCGCAATGCCCTTGACATGGGGCGGGGAAGAAAATGTATCACCAATGAATATTTACACAATTTAATGAGAAGTACTTTAGCAACCTATACTGGGAGTGGGAGGGGAGCTGTTGTAATGGGGCCAACTCCATAGCCAACTTTAGTTACCTTGGAAGTTTCACTGGACCCCCCCCCCATCGGCCGTCGCTCCATTAGAGTTAATGGAACCAGATCCCGGACTGGTGTCAATTGGCCCTAGCCCCATTGGAGTCAGTGGGGCCTGATCCTCATTTGCTGTGAATTTGTCGTCGCTCTATGATCTACCCCATCCCATGATCTGATTAAACACCTCTAACGTGCAAACAGCCACACCTCTACCCTTGCGACTGAGCTGAATATCACCTCTTATCTCTGTTGCATGAACCAGGGACTTTATGAGACAAATTTTATAAAACACAAGCTGATGGGTTGAGAAAGAGTCGGTCTGAATTGTCCTTAAAGAGGGAGTGGCCAGGCGTGAGGATCGTATAACATGTTACATTTCAGTCAATCATTACTCCCAATGTATATATGATTCCAATCCTATTTTTGGCCTATATACAGAGGAAAGGGGCCGTGCTAGACAGGTTAGTGCATCTCTTCAATTTACAGAGAACTTGGCGGTGAACGGAACCATTGTGTGGCTGAAGGTAAGAGTTTTTAATGCCTTGTTATATTATCCTTTGCAATCTTCCATGATCTGCTGCAAAATGCGTAAAGGCTGGAGCTAGATTGTGAATGGTGAAACCCCATGATGATGACAGAGCAGGGATAAGAGGCTCCGTTTGTGCAAAGGAAAAGAAGCCCCACTCATGGAATGGTGTGTGAATGAAATTGGGAGATTTTCAAAGGCAAAACCAGCAGCGCGGGGGCCAGCATCGGCTGAAACTCCATGGGAGTCGGGCCTCGCACTCTCTTCAGCTGCTTTGAACATCCCAGGTTTAGGGAGCAGAGAAGAACCAGTCGACATACTTGATTTGGACTTTCAAAAAGCCTTCAGCAA